CTTACAATTTCACTTTGAAAATATATAGAAGACATTTTTTTGTAAATTTTACATAAGATTGCAAAGAATCTCGGTGTAAGGCGATCCGTCCGCGAGCTGCGGAAGATCAAAGACGCGGCAACTTATAAGACGGATCGCCAGGCGGTGGTTGTGGCGGATGTCGTACGTGAGAAACTCATCTCTGGGCTTACAATTTGCCCTAAGGTAATTCAGGAGTAAATTTAGGGGTAAATTTTTAGGATGAATTAGATACAATACCTGGAATTTAGATTAAGTCGTGTTTGAGGAACTTGTAAAATTAAAGTGGTTAAAAATTACGAATGTATGATCGAAGAAAGAATTTAACTCAAAATAAAAATGTTTAATGGGATAAAACACAAGACAAATTATCTACTATAATAATTGGCTTCTTTGCGATAAAAATTCCATGTAGGAAATGATGCATTTCTGTACCGCAGTATATGATTAATTCCCGTAATTCTTACCACACATTATGGTTAGAAATCAATCACTCTTCTTTCGTACAATAAATTACATTTCTAATATTTCAATCTGATATCAATCAAAAGTTTCAAAGCACGAATAATTGAACACTCGCTATGGTTGAAAAATTTTCTCATTAATCCCGCAGATGAGACATTTATATTCCCATGTAATATTATATATTCCCATATTCCTAACATTCCCATATTATATATTCCCATGTAATATAATATTCCCCACATTTATATTCCCATGGCATATTTTACCGATCAAAACAGATCACCGATGCTGATCATTCTTAAAGAATCTATTCATTACGAATTGAATTATATCAGCGACGACTGAAAGAAATGCAAACTGCATTGAAAATAACGTAACCAGGATTTTCAGTTACAAGTCATCTTTACGTTTAAGTTTTTCTTATCGACAGGGTGAAACGCTCATTCAAAATTAGGTGCGGACCATGGTTTAAACTAAAGAAAAAATTAGATCAGTTCTCACTGCAGTGAGTGACAGACAGCGCATTTTCTCGTCCGTCCGTGACTTGAAGTCACGGACGGACGGAAATGACGAGCACAATAGCGCCCTTTTTCCATAACTGAGAAAATGCGCTAAAAATGGGGTGAAATTAAACTTTTTTATGGGATCCTGCTTAGGCAAACGCTCGTACGACGAGGAGCCCCTCTACTGAATTAGTGACTCAAGGTAATAATTATGAGACGATTTTTGGGATAGCTATTTTTCTAACTGTCAAGCCTTAAAGAACTTTGCGGGAAATGCAAATGCGTGTAATGTAAAACCATTTATAAATAGCAGGTAAGCCTTCAAAATTAGAATGCAAATTGTGTGTTTCTATACTTAGCCGCTTACTTCTTTTTCTCCTTGGTTTAATCAATATTAACGTGATAAAACAAAAGAACAAAAATGATGTTTCAATTTCAACCTTGGACTCTGGATGAGAATGTTTTTTCGGCTATAATTCTGTGAAGCAAGTAGCATCTACTGGCGCATACTGTCATCATTAATCCATTTGTGTTAGCTTAGTGTCATTTCCCTCTAACCTCGACCCTGATATCATTATCCCCGGGACCAAGCAGGATAGTAACTTGAACAAACACTGGCTTCAAGTCACTTGCATGCACAAGCGTACTTCTTTATGAAACCTCGCTCCTATTTTTACAGGTTCCAAACAAAAAGAACAGGCTACCATTAATAATCGGGCTATTGGCTTCATTTGTGGAGCGTAGCTGTCCATCAAAGTGAGGTCATCAATCTCCAAGCGTCAGTGACATCAATGGACCTCGCGAAATGCGTGAATGAAAATTGGGGCTTTGTGCATGGCTATGATTTAAGTAATTCTTAGTGCTATTTAGTGTTATAGAAATTAATAATTATAGCAGAAACTTGCTCATGGAAAATCATCATTCAAATTCTGATCGCCGATCATGATTGATTATTGATCAAGCAAGCTATGGGCATGCGATGGAAACTTCTAATGGAAATTAAGACGCAAATTCATGGTGAGAAAGGAAAATCCTGACAAATGCTTTACTGAATTCGTCTCGAATTTCCTCAAGATGAAAATCCATCGTAGAATTATCCGTTCAAATTATGTACCTATGTCAAATTTTATCGCATATAAAGCCCTACATCGAATTCAATTTTATTACAATAGATTCCTATTGTGTTGGAGTACATTGATTGCCCATGGAACAATTATTCATCTATTGCTTTATCTTTTTTCCTCTACCGTTCTGCCATCTTTGAAGCAAGCTGGGCTACCACCAGGTAAATCATGAATGTCCTCACGAAACTAACATCAGGACTCTTCGGTGGAGGAAGCTCGTCCCAGCTCATGGAAACCCTTGGCCGTCTACAACTGGGTTCTGATTGTGCTCCCAGAAAGGCAGGATGAGGCCAGATTACGTACACTTGCAGATAAGATAAACGAAATTTCTAACCTCACCTCATATGCTGGAACCATGATACATCAGCCTCAGATATGATGGGGTCAGCTTGCCCGACGCTGCTGTCTGTTGCTGATAGAATAAAGACAGATGACTTGCCGATGTTAGCAGGATGGGGACAGATTGCACGCCTCTGCTAAGATGGGAACAGATACAACACGTTACTAAGAGGATGGAAACCGATAGAATCGGTTCCTGATAAAATAAGGAAAGCTTGCACGCCCATGATAGTAGGAGGGGGACAGATGGCACGCCGCTGCTGATAGGACGAGATCATATTGGCCGTCGCTGCTAATTAATGGGATGGGATCAGATGGTAAGCCGCTGATAATGGGAAGGGTAAGATGGACGCTGCTGTTTAATTCATAAAGTCAGACTGCAAATTAATATACATATGATAGAGTTAGATTGTGCACATCGTGAATGCACGCAACGCTATTATACCTGTACAAAACAGTTATTCCTCAAGAACCCTTGAAGTGTCACCGATATAAATTCTAATGCAGTTTATGCAGAACATGCGTATCACAGCCATACAGGGACTACTTTATTCGAGGCTGAGGGTGTTCTCACCCTGGAGTCCCATTCAAAGAAGTATGAGTTAATGCAATGGCCTGCGGTGCAGCAATAGTCTACTCGCGATGAATTGATGGTGCTCTGCTCAACATGCTGCAAGACTGTGTTTTAGTTTGATCTGGTTTATGTTCACTTTATAAGACTCACAATCAAATTTCTTGAGTATTTTCCTCCAAAATCAATAAATAAAAAGAGTCAATACAATTTTTCCTACGAAGCATTTCGTGACTTGTTTCCTTCGGGCGGAGCCGCAGCAGACATCGATGATACGTTTCAAGTAAATCGAATAACCACAAATTGCAGGAGCCGGTACAATAAATTTCCCTAAGTTGGTTTGACTGGCCATTGGGGGCCGAGCGGCACCTCATGATTGCAGGGCAAGAAACACTTGGGCTTATCAGCGGACTATGAACAAAAAATTTTGATCGAAGGTGCAGCAAGGGCGAGGTTTTTGCCTCGAAGCTGATTGGCTCCGAGCTTCTTGTGTCGGTGAAGCGAAATAAGTGAGCCTCGCCAACATGATTAAGAAGACTGGAACATCCGCTCGTGTGTACCCAACGATTTTTATCCAAGTAAAAAAAATTAAACTCTCACACCATCGCCTGATAGGTTTGAAATTTAATGTTATAATAATGACTAAGTACATGATACAACCACTCTTATTATTATAAAGATAACGATTAGCGTAAAATATTTTATTGTGTGTACTTTTCATCCCATCTCAATCAGGTTATGAGTTTCATTTCCCAAATGGCCTTCAAACTGTTCACAAAAGTAACCAAATTAACCAAATCAAAAACCCACTTACTCGTTCCTCAAGCCTGAATCTTTCAGCGCTACTGCAATTGCAAAACACTATCTATAATCGATTTCTTTACTATCATTCTCATTGTGATACCAGCTCAAAAAAGTGCCCACCAGAACAAGAGTGGAGTCTTGAGGAATGGAGTGTTGTGAGAGGGGAGGGTGGGAAGACATATAATGATATATGACCGTGCCGAATTGTTTTAGCACGTTGTTTTACTTTTTTGGGATTATCAAATTTTTTATATTTTTCCTTAGGACAGCTGTGAATATGGTATATTTGAACTTTTTTGTTAACATAAGAGTGTGAACTTTTAATTCTTTTTGATGCTAGTAAAAGTTTTTAGGCAGCGTGTATGGCCGATTTAAAGGTCGTGACCGTAGGTCACCACGCACCCCAATTCCAACACATCAAAGTAAGACTAGTTTTTATCGGTAATCATTTTAATATCGGAATATTAGACACACCATCTCGTAATCCTTTACCTCGCCTCACTCGCTCTCCTGACTATTTTCTTCTATTGCCAAATAAAGTCTTGAACGCCCTGCTTCGAAGATTGTCCGAACGCTATAAAGTCAACGATCCGCACGAGCCAATGAGTTATGAGACGGGCTTGACAAAATTATGTCCGCACCGAACCAGCCGTGCCAGCGCCCGGTACGGGGACGGCTTTTTTACCCGGTGCTTTATGTCCAGATCTGATGGCCGTGCATCATCAGTTTCCGTATTACGGTATTAGACTATTTGCACTAGAAGGGATGGAATGATTGGCGCTGCCAGCTGCTCTACTGGGAGAAAAACGTGAGGTTCATTCCCGTGACACCTGTGCTCAGGTAATGATACGACACCAAGAACTGTATAGTGCCGAACACGATGTGGATCATGTCACTACACACTACGTAACATGTGGAACAGCTTGAGTTGAATAATCTATAAATAATATGTAGCTTCAGCAAATACTCGTATCACATATGGAGTGATTAAGATTTTCGGTACTTGAGATTTACTAAAACATTGGAAAGGTATCTATATAGGTATATGGTTTTAAACGAACAAGGATTCACATAAAACGCGGAATTTATATAATTACTAAGGTTTTACTTTTATAAAAATTGAAAGAAAGCTTACATAATTGAGACTGGCCTTCTAGTTGAGGAAGTAAAACAATGTTAAGAAAGTATTCTTTAATTACCGATATTGCATTACACGATTTTAGGAGAATTAGAAGCAGCTTTGCAAGTATGTACAAGATTTGCATTTGCAACACAGCCATGTCAGAATCACTCAGTCGGCGATACAATGACCTGTACAACGTTAAGTAGATTTTCCATTATCTCAATTATTAAATCTATAATAGAAGGTTTATTTATATCACTGTTAATTATAAGTGCAGTAGTTGAGGTTGAGCTCATCAAATTCGTTTGCGTTATTCAGCCGCATAAGACAAAAAATAATAATTTTGAATGTCAGCATAACAACAATGTTATTAATTGTTCTGAGCCTTATTGAAATGCATGTAAAGAATATGAAATAATAAGGCTGCCTCTTTCGTTCAGGATAATCTACCAATTGAATCATTCGATAGCTATTTCGTAGCTGAATAATTTTTGCTTTAAAGAATACATCCACGCACAGGAAATGACTAGAGCAGCCGGACGTGACACATCAGAGGGACTGAGTGTCCTTGAAAATCATATCCATTTAAATCAAATAGATTCATAGACTGAAAGCATTTTCAGAGACTCTGCATTATCATCACAATAGAGGCTCGGCTCGCAGGTAAAATAGTCTACGCGAGGAGCTTCTACAGCGCTCTTCACATTTGAGGTTTTGAACACACGTTTCTAAAGCAAGGGTTCATAGACCTATCGGATTATTTCTAGTCTCGTTTCTCGTAAAAACGCTATTATAGCGTTTATTTTTTGTGCAAAATAATCATTTACTAACTTCAGGTGATGCCGCGGTAAAAAAAAGTATCCGACAGATAGAACATAAACATTATTTCGGGAGTTAGACAATGTGGGTTAGATTAATAAGTGAGCAGCAAATACTTTTCCACTAATTTCCCCCTATAAATAGCTTATTTTGGCTTAACCAAACCAGTGGGCGGCCATGCAGTCGCGGGTCCACTCCTTATGACAGACCCAGCACCAATTGAAGCGGCACGAGGCGCGTGTGCAGACCATATGCATGCAGCCGCCTGAGCGCTCGGTGGGCGTGCGGCACTGCGGGCATGCTTTCGTCAAGCTCTGGATTGCAGCAGCTGAGGCTACGTCCCACCGAGCACCTACGCCCACACGACTCGTGTCTACGTTGAACGAAGCTGTCGACGCTGACCGCGGTAACGAAGACAAAGGCTGTCCATGATCCAGCTGCCAGCACTCGCCTGTGTGGTATTCCTGGAGGCACAAGCGACAGAAGACGAAACCGCACCCGCCAACACACGTTATCCTCACGCAGTCTGCGTCAGGCAAGAGACCATGCCCACAGCCAGGTCTCGGACACAGAACTCCACCAGCAGCCAGGACGGCTTCTTCAGTAGCCCAGTGCTGGTATCTACGGTACTGATCATCTCCCAGCAGGCGAAAGTGATGTACCTCCTTAATGTAGGAGTCAAAGCAATTGACTGGGCACGGCAACGTATAACCAATCTCAGAATCATGAGTGAACTGACGCTCGCTGAGTTTAGACAGGCAGTAGTTGATGAAGCAGTCGAGACAGAGCACGTGGGACGCCTCGCACTCGAACACGATCACAGGGGATGCCACTTCGGCGCAGGACAGGCACACCACGCCAGGCAGGTTGGCGCGGATCATGTAGAGCGGCACAGCGACGTCGTCGTCGCCTAACGTCACGTGTCCGCTGCACTTGAAGTAGAACTCAGCATAGCATTCCTTGACGGCCTCCTTGCACGCAGGAGTCTCGCACCAACACAATATCTGGTCGACAATAGAACTTCTTGATCCTCGATTCAAAAAATGGCATTCATGAAAGAGAAATTTTACCGAAGGAAAGTAAGGGGATTACATTGCTGCAAATATATAGTCGAAATATAATGCATTCATTCGCTTAGCTTTGCAATTTTACAGCATGAATCCAAAATTAGTTAGAAAAGTTAGCTACCTAACGATTATGAAATACGTTTGGCTTGCCTGACCTGCTTGGGCGTGAGGACGTCCTTCCAGCATGTGGGGTCTTCGTGCAGGGTGACGGCGCCCTGTGCACAGCGGTTGCAGCGCACCCGCAGCTTGCCAACACGCACGCCGCGACACGGGCGCGAGCAGAACACGTAGAAGTGCGGCCGTTCTCCTGAGCCCGGCACACCACTAGCCTAAAACACGGATAACAAGTATGGCTATGGTTGCGAGTTAAATGACTGTTACGTGGCAGCCGCATCTGCTCCCAATGCTGCGAATTATGGCTTAGCTATGTCGGTTGGCAATGAATGAGATGCTGGTGGCAGTGGTATACTACAAGACTGACATACATCTATGTTAGCGGCCTATCTTGAAAATCAGTTGGCTTTATACTACCTTTAATTAATCATGTGTACGGTATTTTTGCCAACAACATTGTGTACAATGAATACGTGTACCTAGGTATGGAGGTATGTATACATATACCGGTACCTATATATCTAGGATATAAGGAGTACATATATTACTTATATACATTTATCCCAGGATATAATAATTAAGAAATAGATGAGTTATAGAAACCAACTGATCTATTATTATTTGAACCAAAAAATTAGTCAAAAACAAACAGATGATAAGTGTTTGTCGATGACAAGATCTAAAGCTGCTACCAACCTTGAGTTGCCTCAACTGCTCCTGCTCGTCCTGCGACAGCTGGATAGTGATGACAGTTGAGGCATCGCATAACAGACGCTGACACTCGCGCTGCTCGCTGAATGCAGCGTCCAGGGCAGCCTCCACATCTTCGCCAGCAGGAGTCTCAGCTCCAGAAATCTTACCACAAGGCAAATCCAGTAACGTGAATGACTCCAAAGTGTCCGTGCTTGACGGCCTTGTTGGCCGCTGCATGTCGCGAGCCTGTAATGAAATTTGAGTAGGTCAAATGTTCACCTGGATTCCAGTTTTGGTAGGCAAGGCAAAAGAAACATAATATCATAACTTTCCTATGGGGTGTAGTAATAATAACGACTTTATTACTGTTGCTTTCATAGCAAATTCCTTGATAATAATTTTAATTCTTTCAAATGACAGACGCACTACAGCAGACTGAACAAGAATAAAACTTTGATTAGTGGATAAAACTTACATCACTAGTCAAAGTCTCTGAACTTGCATATTCTTTTCCAGCTGTTGTTAAATTAGGCTTCTCAGAACAATTTGCAGGAGGAAATTCTTCAATAGCAGCATCTTGCACCCTCCTTGTGATATCAGACACAGTTGGGGAGGTTGGAGGAGTTGCGGCTGAAGCAGATGTCACAAGTATGACAGCATGCAATACGCTGTTCTGGCCCAGGTCACACTGACCTAGCACCAAACTCTCAGGCAACTCCTTCCCAGCAAAAATAAGCCTGCACAAAGCAGTTAGCTGGCTTGAGTAAAACCACAACAAATGACAAACCAAAACTATAAAATGGACTACAAAACTTGAAAAATTGTCAACTGTACACAGAGGTGGGCAGTAGCACGCTACATGTGGCAGCCGCTACATTTTCCGTAGTGGTAGCGGCGCTACATTTAAGGCAATGTAGCGGTAGCACCGGCTACATATTCATGTAGCGATACGAGGTTTTGCCGCTACAGTGCTCCCGCTACATTTATAGATAAAGCCTTTAGATTTTACTTAATAGTACTTAAAAACCAGCATGATACATACATAATATAAATTACAGAAAAAAAAACGGTACGAAAGATTTCGGTGTAATGTTTTCAACCTCAGCCTGTTACTAGTGTCAACATATTGATTGTTACTTGTTAAGTTGTTACCAGTTACAACATACCGTACAGGTATTTTTTCATGTTTCAGTTTGCTTACAGTTATTTTTATGTTTCACCTTCCCTAAAATCTCAAAAGTAATCCACATTTATATACAAATTAAAGAATGATTTTTATATGTATATGTGGATAATTTTTGAGATTGGTAGATTTAAGTAGACATCCATGTAGGGTAGGTAAAACATAAAAATAACTAACTTTTATTTACTGTATCTAACCCATACTAGTTCGGATAGGTTAATTGTAATAAAGTTGCATTGATATGCTTTGAAAATGCTTTATTATCATTAAATGTTTATGAGTAAATCCCAATAGCAGAACAATAAATATTTAGAGATTTCCAATAACTTTGGCCATTGTAGCGGCGCTACATTTTACTGTAGCGGTAGCCGTAGCACTCGCTACAATCTAGTGGGTGTAGCGGTAGTGGTAGCGCCCGCTACATTTAGAGCATGTAGCAGTAGCGGTAGCGGCTGCTACATTTCAAAGTAGCGCTGCCCAGCTCTGACTGTACAATATAAAAATTTAAAATGAGGTATGCTTATTCATAGTTTTGAATGAGCAATATCATTAAAAATGTGTGGCAAAAGACTAATTAAAAAACACAAGTTGGGTTACAATAAGGAACTGAACCAATCAGGAGGATTAGTTAACAACTTACTTGATATGTTGCTGGGTGCTGCAAAGCTGTGGCTTCAAATGGGTCTTGAGTTGAGCAACAGTCCACTCAGGAGCCAGTTGAACTTGGATCTTAAACACATAATATTGAATGTAGCAGCATGTATGACAACAGCATTACAACATGACACAGCTTGACATCTGCAACATTTTAAAAGTTAGCATGCTAATCAAGGATGCGTATATACTGTATATGTACCGTATACGGCAAAAATCAATGAAAATGATCCCGATGATCTCTACAGATTATGAGGAAATATTAGGATGAATTACTCCTTCCTGTAGATGTTTCATTTGTTGCTGATCCACAATTGATAACTGGTCTCCTAAGATGGCAGAATATGTATAGCTTAAAAATATTTATTTTTTAAAAGCTTATCAATGGAAAATGTAGATATATTTGTAACTTTATACTATCTAATCATTTTGTTTAGGCAAGAAAATAGACTTTTACTTCATTTGAAGGCACCTGTTAAAGTTAAGATTGGGTCACATTGTTTGGAGATGAGCTGGTTAACAACTCAGAACAAAAACTAAACTTTTACCAAAATGTGGAACTGCACAATATAGTAATTTTTACATCAAATGACTGCAATTATAATTGTGCTATTGATTTTTGAATTGATGCTGGAGCTGACCCCCATTGCTTTTAGTAACTATGTATATGGCAAATTTTTTTGGTACTTGCTTTTCAAGTTCTTGTTATATCTGCAAGCCATTGAATGATACCTACAAATACAGGTAAATTACAGTCTAGTCCACACATTATTCTACTGATGACATAGCATTATTACATTATTATTATTCTACTGGTTATTATTATTCTACTGATTAAAGTCTGGTCCACACATTATTCTATTGGCAAACATAGCATTATTACATTATTATTAGACATTATTCTACTGGTTTATAGAAATAAATTAGGGAAAATATAGAAATTTATACTGTATTACTCACCTTCTCTCCAGTATTGGTGCGAACAAATATAGAAAGCATTTGAGACTCAGGTGGAGGAGAGGAAACAGATTTTGCTGACCCAATTTGAAAAAGTGACAAAACCTGAGAGAAGAATGATTTCAACCATCCTAAAAGAAGACTGAACATAGATATAATGCAAAAATGCTGTTATTGAAGTAAGTTTCTGAAAGAAAAAAGTAAGGAAATGCCAGTATAACCATAAAATATTTCTGTTATCCAGGTAGGTAGTGGTACTTATCATTCTAGGATTGGAGTATTTATTTGATTTGAAAATTTGAACTTCAAAGTTAGGGTAAAATTTGGGTGGTTTCAATTACTTTTGCATATATACCTACTATATACTATATATGTACCGTAAAATGGGGTAACTTAGACCGGCGGGGTAACTTAGACCACTTTTCGTTTTTTTAACAAAAACCCCCACAACTCAAAAACTATTTGACATAGAAAAATTTTGTCAATGGGCATTAAAGGCCTAATACTGAGGCCACATAACACAATAGAAAGATTTGAAAAGTTTGCATATCTAATAGGTTAAAAAATTAAAAATGTGACCCATGAAAAAAAGCTATTGTTTACAGCCTGTCAGAGTACCCCCTCCAATTTTTTTATTTTTTGGTTAAATAACTGCAGGTTTTGATGCATTGTAGTAGAACTCTTCTAGTTACATATGCAAATGACAAATTTTACGAATGTGTCATAGTTTGCAAATGGGGGGTGCTGCCCCCAATTGGGGTAACTTAGACCACCTAATGTCAGCTCTGACGGGGTAACATAGACCGGCTTGGAAGTTAATATAAAATTACCATATGTAACATATTTTATGTTTGACAGCCTATTTATGTTTTTTCTTTAGGTTTCAGACTCTACAGAGTCTTATATATGGTAATTTAACTTAATTTCCAGGCCGGTCTATGTTAACCCTGTCAGGGCTGCCATTAGGTGGTCAGAGTTCTCCCGTTTGGGGGAACTTAGACCACCTGGGGAGCGGGACCCCCCATTTGCAAACTATGACACTTTCCTCAAGTTTGTCATTTGCATATGTAACTAGAAGAGTTCTACTACAATGCACCAAAACCTGGAGTTATTTGGAGTGTTTTTACCAAAAAATATAATTGATTTTACCACCCGGTCTAAGATACCCCAAGAGCTGGGGTAACAAAGACCATCACTTTTTTTGAAATTACATAAAGACTATGAGAGGCAGGAGCCAGCAATTTATGGTGAGTCAAGCTAGAGTATAGACCTGTATTTTGCATGTTTCAATTCAAGTTTAATTTAGCTAGTAAAAAAATGGCATCATTTATAAAAAAAAGTGGTCTAAGTTACCCCATTTTACGGCATATTCACAACAAGATAAAAATTACCATCAAGAGGGGTGACTTCAGCCACTGGGGGTGACTTTGGCCACACCTACAACAGAAAAAAATGGCAGCAAAGCAAAATAATAAACATTGGCCAAAGCCACCCCAGTGGCCAAAGTCACCTTGGTGGCCAAAGTCACCTCAGTCACTTTGGCCAATGTTTATTATTTTGTTTTGCTGCCATTTGTTTCTGTTGTAGTGGTGGCCAAAGTCACCCCCAGGGCCAAAGTCATCCCACTTGATTTTTCATACCTATACCTATATAAGAAGCCGTTTGTAGGAGTAAATAGGACAGAATCGTAATATAAATAGTCCACAAATGCTTAATCGTATGGGTAATTTTAGCACTATCTGATAATTTTATCTCATGCCTGACTTCATGCTTGGAAAATTAGACAGAAGCCACCGATGAGCAAGACAGATACGCCCGTGCTTGGGGACAATTTCACTTATTGCTAAATGCTATGGCCCTCTCTTTTGTGAAAATTAAGAAAAATGGTAAATTTTAGGTCAAAATTTCTTAAAGGCACACAATAGTAAAATAATTTTACATGCAATTTTTTGGAAATTTTGTATGATTGGTCTCTTGTTAATGCCACTCATGCAGAATCATGGGGCCATGAGTGAGCAAATATCTAAACTTCTGAAGATCTATGGGAACACATTGGCATCAAAATTTTTGTCTTCAGAAGAATAAATTTCTTTTTAAATACCTACTTACATTTATTTCAGGCAAGAAATCTTGAAGGTTTAGGTAGTTCCATTAACAAACAGGTGTGGAATAGTTCTCTTTTTGAGCTGAGAGTGCAACTCAGCAGACTCTGCTGTGGTCACCATACGTACCTCACTATACTCCCACAAAAACTGCTGGACCAGCAATCACTCTGACCTATGCTCCCAATGTCATGCACTCTCCCACACTGTAAAACTTGAATGCCCAGATCTGGCAGCACCCTTCTCTGGGCTGGCATAACACCCATTTGCCCAGTTTTGGTCTAAACTGGTTAGGGTTTCAGCTTTCCAGTGCAGCACAGGTTTTTCAGCATGACCAGAACTCAGGGAAGATCGCAAAAACAACTATTTGAGCCACAACTACAGCTTTCATGCCATTTTTGGAAGCATGAGATTCCTTCTAGATGAATTATCCTGTATCTAATTGTTGAAAAAAAATAAACAATTGAACCACAATAATCCATAAGTATTTAAAAATTATTACTTTGCAGCTGCAACAACTTGGTAATAAGTACCTAGGAAAATTTAAATCCTGTTTGACAATTCCTTAATAACATTGGCAACTTTTTAAGCCTAAGCATACATATATTAGTTAGGCTGTAAAGTGTGACACAACATAGGTAAGGACCCCAAATTCATTGCTTCAAAGACACCAAGGCACAGTCGAGGTGGATGGCAGTTGTCAATTATGCTTCTCCATGGATCAAGATTAACGATCGATATGGGTATTTGGCCCATGCGCATACTGACAAACCACAGATTTTTTAGAATCTGTTCATTTTTAATTCCCTTATCTACTCAAGATTTCAACCAATTTCTTATGTATGATAATGCTGGTATCCATGATACCATACCTTACATATATTACTTACTTTGCTTCCTATACCATAATACCCCTATTAATAGGACTAAAAAATGAACTTGAGGAAGAGTCTAAAAAGTCTCTGCTCTGACACTATGCCCATGCATGATGACTGTAATGCGACATGCTAGCATAACAATTGATGTTGCCAATGCACACATTACAATCCATATGATTGTAGGTGCATTACAATCAATATGACCATTGACCAATGTGCAAAGATTGCCACTGCTGTATGTCCATTACAATTGCTGCCTATGTATGAGACTGACAGTCTGTGAAAGAGGCAAGCAAGCAATACAAGTGGGAGATACATGCAGTGATGGCAATTTTGATCAATCAAATGAATCCATAGTTCTTGATTGGACAAGACTGCCAATTCTTGGTCAAGATGGCTGAAGGAAAATAAAATAAACTCCAATACTTCGAGTTAAAAAGCCCTGTTAAAAGTTAACATGTCTTTTAGCCCAATAGTTCCAGTTAAAAGCCCAATAATTCCATAGTTCTTGATTGGACAAGACTGCCAATTCTTGGTCAAGATGGCTGAAGGAAAATAAAATAAACTCCAATACTTCGAGTTAAAAAGCCCTGTTAAAAGTTAACAGGTCTTTTAGCCCAATAATTCCAGTTAAAAGCCCAATAATTCCATAGTTCTTGATTGGACAAGACTGCCAATTCTTGGTCAAGACAGCTGGAAGAAAGTAAAATAAACTCCAATACTTTGAGTTGAAAAGCCCTTACTTCATTTCATTCACTGTATGGGCACATTTTGATCTTGGAAAAACACTTGCAGAACTCAGCTTCATGGCAACTCAAATTACTATAGCATGGTATTCCTGGTATTACTAGTGGTATATACCATATAATCTACTCTTTGAGCCATTGACAGAACTTTCTACAATAATTGGAGCCATAGTGGGCAAATGAATGATTTCATTAAGAAGCAATTCATTTTTAATTCCCTCATCCATTTCAATGTTTGTTTCAATTCTATATAATAATGCATGTAAATATACATCCATAATATTTTTTGTCAATAATAAGCATACATGACATTTTTCTTACTGGTCTCCTTACATATTATATAGGACTAACTAACATAAGTCAACAAATTGTATATGCTTTCCCAATTCCTACTATGTTTGGAGGCTGATTGCTGAAGCTGCAATATTTCTGCTATCAATAAATTAATTTTATGATTCTAATCTGATTCTTAACAAATACAGACAAATAAAGCCACAAGATTGCAAATTTTTTGTTACTTGGGACTTATAAGTTTGGATGAGTTGTGAGATATCAGCAAGGAAAACGTAGCTAACATAGGAACATTTTAGTAAATACAGCTGGCAGCCTGGCATGCACAGCACTTGTTACTTACTTAGTCGCTATGTTAAGATGAGGTGCGTACACAGCACTTGTGTTTCAGGCAGCCTGGTCACAGTTCCGGGCTCACAGGCAGCCTGGCCCTGCTGGGGTCACAGGTAGCCTGGCCCTGCCGGGCTCACAGGTAGCCTGGCCCTGCTGGGCTCACAGGTAGCCTGGCCCTGCTGGGCTCACAGGCAGCCTGGCCCTGTTGGGCTCACAGGCAGCCTGGCCCTGCCGGGCTCACAGGCAGCCTGGCCCTGCCGGGCTCACAGGTAACCTGGCCCTGCCAGGCTCACAGGCAGCCTGGCCCTGCCGGGCTCACAGGCAGCCTGGCCCTGTTGGGCTCACAGGGAGCCTGGCCCTGTTGGGCTCACAGGTAGCCTGGCCCTGCCGGGCTCATATTTAGCCTGGCCCTGCCGTGCTCACAGGCAGCCTGGCCCTGCTGGGCTCACAGGTAGCCTGGCCCTGCTGGGCTCACAGGCAGCCTGGCCCTGCTAGCCTCACAGGTAGCCTGGCCCTGCCGGGCTCACAGGCAGCCTGACCCTGCCGGGCTCACAGCCTCACAGGCAGCCTGGCCCTGCCAGGCTCACAGGTAGCCTGGCCCTGCCGGCTCATAGGTAGTGTGTCCCTGCCGGGCTCACAGGCAGCCTGACCCTGCCGGGCTCACAGCCTCACAGGCAGCCTGGCACTGCTGGGCTCACAGGCAGTCTGGCCCTGCCGGTGCTGGGCTCACTGGCACCTGGCGGCATGTCTCCTCAATAAGCAAGGCACATTTGGGCATGTCTTGCTCATTGATGGGCCAGCGCCAGTAAGTGAAATTATAACAAGAAGCCAGAACATAAAATAGGGCATAATCTTGTCAATT